GGGCCTCTGTGGTCAGCTCTACCCTGAAGAGAAGAGTGTTCAGTTTCTTCTGGAAGATGGCAAATGAGTTTGCACTTCCGACCGTGGCAGGTAAGTCATTCTGCCACAGAGGGGCAGCATAGAGAACAGTCAGGTCTGGGACTTGCAGCCCCTCGGTAATGGAGCTGCTAACTGCCAGCTGGCCTGGTTAACTAGATCACAGTGCCCTGCTGGGAACACAGGGCCTGATGGTGGTCTGGAGGTATGCTGGCACAGTCCCCTGAAAGTCCTGTGGGTTCGCACCAAGGTTTGATTCTGCTGTGGGCTGTGACTGGAAGCCAATGTGCAGAGATAAGGAGGTGAAAATGTGCTTGAATTCAGAAGGTAGACAAAGGAGATGAGTAAGTTGATCTGATCTTGAAGATATTGTGCAGGAAGGATCTGCAAGGGAGAGAGTTACAGTATAGATGAAAGGTAGTATGTGAACATGAAGCTGTGTCAATGACAGCACCAAAGTTCTCGGCACTCTTAGTGGAGTTTACTTTTGCTGTGACCAGGGTTATTGAGAGATTGTGCTAGTGATAAATGAAATTGCAATGTAAAGGTAGTAAACATCCTTGGAATATTGCACTTGATCCATCTACATTCTGTTACGGAGTGTATGACTAATTAATGGCTAATAAAACGAGTTAATGAGGATGTTTTCTTGGTTCTGTAGATTACGTCAGCTGATCATTCTTTGAAAAAAATCAGTCTCAAGCTGAATGCATTGATTTTTACAACAGTTTTCATAATGAGGATGGAGTTGGCATGGTTTCTATGGAAACATCTTTTCCACTATGGATTCAGCTAAACCTTTTTGTCATTTGCTCAAAGCTCCTTGACATGCACTGCCAGACTTACAGGAAAACATGTGAAGTATGTATATCACTGAGACTGCAGATATGCTAGTGCATAAACTGTATACATTCTTGTAATTTAATCATGCATAGTTCTCCATCTTTCCAATGCCCAGTAGCTTTATATCTGTTCATATCTCCTGGATTTGATCACTTCAGATGATCAGACTGGATGGTAATTCTGCTTTATCACAGGAGGAGAAGGATAAAGGACCTGGTCATCCCAGAATAGCTGCCCCTCCTCCGTGGGCACAACGACATCTTTCAAAGATGTAATGTCTTTAAAAAAAAAAAACAATTTAGTTGTCACAGTGGTTAATCTCATTGTTTTTAGATTTTTTAAATAAAGAATAGTTTCAGCTATTAAATATGTTGCACTGTTGCTACTTTAGTTATTTTGTCTAATAATGTTGTGTAATAAGTTCGTACAATGTGTTTATGATTAAATACTTTACTGAATTTTATATATTCTGAATAGCTAGAATAAGTCTAAAAAAGCAGAATCTGGAGGTCAAATTTTTCTTAAAGAACTGTAGGACCTCTGGCTAGATAAAAGGTTGCTTTGTATTTTCACATCCTAGGTACTGTGAGCATAGGAGTATTTTACCTCCTTATCATTTTCATTACCACAGAAAATTGCTTGCAGGGTCCTTTGAGTTGCAGTATTGTTTATTGTTTTCTGTCTGTTTCAGTGTGCTTTAAATTACTCCACCATTAATTTCCTTTTTCATAAGCAGGCAGAAGCATTCGGTTTCTAATAAGTTGAAACAGACAGCAGGAAATGGAGGTCCCAGTGCTTAGCTAGGGTGTATCTCTGTGTGTTACCAGCAATCTATGTCATGCAATGACAGAATGAGGCCAGAGGAAGTGAAGATACAGGGAAGCCGTAACTTGCAGCATATATACAATCATTTGAGTGGAATAAAGGAAACGTGCGATTCACCAGGCATCTGGCAGGTCAGTTAGATCAGTAGGTTTCCACTATGAAAATATTTTCCATTAAAAAGATATCGCACAAACAATTCTGGCTGTAAATTACCTTTAACACACAGATCAGTTTGATGAAAGGTAAAAATGTAATTTTGCTTTGCATCTTCCATGTAAATGTATTGTTTGTAGTCTGAGAATCTGAGAAATGGACAATTTGTACCTTGGTTACAGTACAATTTCTGTACTGAAGGTCATCTTTCTATGCTCCTGTAAAGTGGCCTTAACATTAACCATAAAGTAAAAAAAATATTTTTATTTGAGTAGTTTTTTGTTTGTGCCAACTAAGGTCAATCATTAAACACACCACTACCTTGAGAACATTTAATATTTCTAAAAAACAATGCTGCACTATGGTGAGCAGGGACACTATGCAGTAGGAGGTTCTGTCCTACAGATAATATGTGAAACTAATGTGCTGTACTGACTACTTTGTTATTAAGGATTACATGACCCTGCTCATAACCGCAAGGAGGTTATTTTCTGGTTAAATTCCTCTCAGGGCTTGTAGAATCTGGCCTATCTAAAGCTCCCCTTTAATTCAATTGGTGAAGAAGTTCCTCATTTCTCTATGGTCTGTAGTGTAGCTGCTGCCTGTCTGCCAGGTACTGTAGTTGCTGCACTTCTTTGGGATGAAAAATGCTGTAGAAAATGTTTCGCGTTATTATTCAATCCTGTTACACGGCACATGATTTTATTGTTCTTTTAAGCGCGTTCTCTTGGATTTATTAGAATGCTCACAAAGTGGATCTGCAAAACTTTGTGCTGTTCAGTATTTGAGTAACACATACTGTTGTGTTGTGCATTAGACTTTGAACAAAGAAACATCTGTCATGCACCATTGGGACAGGATGTGGGAAAATAACACCTGCAGTGCTACTGGAATAATGCACATTTTGAGCAAGCATTTCTATAACACTTATGGAACCTGCTAAAAAAATAATAAATGTACATGTACATTGTATAAAGTCTTTCCACCCACACTCTACAATAATGCATTTTAAAAATTCTTTAAAAAGACCTACACGAAAAATCAATGAATACTTTATGTTTCCTTAATGCAGGGAGAACAGTACTTTAGATATTCCAGATAGTGTCACCTAATTAACCTTGAAGCCTTCTAAGAAATTGAAAACTAAATTAATTACCTGTATCTATCTGACACATGCCTTAGGTTCACAAGGGACATCAATGAGGTTTTGCCTTCTTTTCACCTTTAGGTACAGTATACCATATCATAACGACCTTGGATCTGCTTTGCTTTCTTACATTTTTTCCTATATGTGGTGCATTAAATGGAATGCTGTCAGCTTCTGTCAAAACAATACAATTCAGTTGCTTCATTCTAAGTAATGGCAAATTACCACTTCAAAAAATGTGTTCTTCATTTCACCTGCACACTGTGCCAGAGACAAATTCTCACTTTGCAGTGTAGAGCAGTGATCATACATATTGTATCTCACCAGACTTTTGTTCTGGTATTACTGTATATTACAAATCTTCAGTTACTTTAATATGGAAAGTTCTGTGGCTGGGTAACATTGGTTGCATACTGGAAATCAAATTAAGTTTGTCTAATTTATTTCCAATTTAAAATGGGTAGTGATTCTGGAGATATTACCTCAGATTTAAATGTTATTTGAATGTACATTACCCTTGTGTGGAGGAGGCAGAACAAAAATATCTTGAATTATAGCTTTTAATTGTCCTTTATGGTTTTTCCACTGAATAACTATATACTAAATATGTATTATGTCCTGAGTAACCACCTCCGGCCTTGGAGGACGGTAACTATGTTTTATGGTTTTTGTTCCACCCAATGTCTTTATTACCCAAATTCAGCTCATTATTTGCTTAATTCCCCTGCTCTCAAGCAGCATGCAGTTTAAACAGACCTGAGACCTGTATTATCTGAGACCCCTGAGGACTGGTACTCTACCACCTTCACTTGTACTGAGTGAAATATACAGTTATTAAGTGAAAAGGAGAACTGGGCTTTATCTCAACATAAGTTAGTTTAGTGCTGAGTACATTAGAGACATACTTCGCGGTGAAGATAGAGCATTTACAGGCTCATAATAACCAATAACATTCTTTTGAATAGGAATGTTTTGCTTAGGTAGAAAATAAATAAACAGTAGAATATATCATATTTATCTCAGGGGAAAAGGAATCTTCATGGCTGTCAAATCCTTTGATGCTAACCATAGAGTTTAGAACAGATAAGGTGCACTGCCTGTCTGCAATCAGCCCTGAGGTTAGCTGTGAGCTATTCCACATTCACTCGTTCTTAAAGGTAAGTACTGAGGCAAAGGAGGAGTACTTCACTTGGGCCAGATAATTATCGGGTAATTTGGAAAAAATATAGAAAAGTTAAAAACACATGGTTTAAATAAAACAAAATATGATTAGTTTTCAACATAAGGATAAAATATTAAATATTAATATTTTTTAGATTGTGACATGAACCAAAAGATGTGTAGCACTACATTTAAGACCCAAATAGAAAGGTATTTGTCATACAAAGTGTTGTGGGGTGGTTGATAAAGCTTTTATCCTTCAAGAATCGTAATCTGTCTTTATATCAATTAAGCTGTTAGAAACCAAATGAGTTGGATGGGCAGAAGAAGGTAAGAAGGTTGTTTGTCACCCTTCTTACTCTTGCGTTCTTATTGCATTTGTGCTTTTGATTTCATTGCTTAGGAACATTTTTTTCTAATAGTTAAAAGACACTCAACCCTGAAGATTCAGTTACCTACTTCCAAAAACAAAATAGACACCTGTGCAATGTTCAAACTCTTAGCTGTAGGGCACATTCACTAGTATCTAAATGCAAAAGGGTTTTAAGATACTGTAAGTGTAGTAGACCACCTAACCTTTAATGGCATGTTCATCAGTCCTGCTTAATCCTCAAATGTGTAGATATGGTCAATAGGTATTTCATTTGCTGCTAGAAAGAGAGTTTCTTTTTCATTTTGCCTCAGAACATCAGCAGAGATCCCTACTGCCCTTACAGAAACATGCTCAGACAAAGCGGCTCCTGAAAATGGTTCTGCTACATTTTCAAGCATAACCGAGAGTGGTGTTGATTGCTTTTGTACTCACTTGTGGAATCCTGGAGCAGGTTGGTGAGCCTTTATTGTGTTAATTCAGGGTCATTCAGAAAGGGAATCTGGTAGCAGGTGCTACTTTGTTTGTGTACCCTTCGTTTCTGTGTCCTTGGTGTGCCACTATATGGTAGACCTTCAGGAATATCCTAATGAGCTATTGGCAATAGACCCAAGACCAGCATTACTGAGGAGGAAGAATCAAAGGAATATCTGGCTTGGTAAGTGTACTGGCAATTAGTTTCAGAGGGGGTAACATGCAGTGCAGCAATCTGTTATGGTGACAACGTGTCGGCAGCTGCATCATAACACAAACTTTTTTCCTCCACTTTCATTATATCCTCCTGTGAGATTATTTATTTTATGAAGTCATCTTTTGGGATTCTAGATGTAGCATCCCCAATTTGTGATAAACCAGATATACATTCTGTTTAATGAAAAACTGAAATAATTCACACAGTTTTTCCCCTGTACAATATGCATGCTTAACCATTTTTATCTGATGCTTTGTCCTTGCCTGATTATAGAGGAGATTTCTGCAGCATTTCTTTTCTGTTGCCTTTTGGCGTTTTTAAACAAAAGAGCAAATGCTTTCATAGATGGGATATAAGCAAAATGCAGTACCCACCAGAATCAGTATAAATTATCTGAGAAGCAATAAGGCCCACAAGCAATGAAACATGATGAGGAGCATACATTTACATTCAGATGAAAACACCTAAAGAAAAAAAATGCTGTTGTTTATTAATGCGCAACCTATTTTAAGCAGGAGTCCTTGAATCACTTTCAGTCTATATGTGCCATCGTGCATTTGGCAGGGAGTAATTTCTCCTTTTAGGGATATTAATATGCTGGCTAACTTAAAATAATACTGGTGCAAGTTTTTAGGCACTAGGTCCTGTGCTCATTTAAGGCTTGGTGAAGAGACTTTCATAGATTGTATTAGGGATGTTGCTTTGTCTGGGTTTATGTACCTCTGTAAAAGCTGGCTGGGTGATTAATTTTAAGTTTGAAATTTTAGCTCTTTTTAATTGTAAAAAACACACAGACATAATTTCCTTACTTTGGAACTGGAAAGTGTAAACTGCCACCTCAGCTTGCTGTTCCCTCCTGGAGATCACATACCGTAGGCCAATAAACCTGTTGTTATATCACAAAAATAACCCTTCTGGTGAAATGTTTGGGAAATTTCATCTCAGATGAATAGATTTTATTGATTGATCTGTATGAATCCTTCAATTATTCTTACTTTATTTGGCAGATGTTTTTATCAAAGTGATTTTTATGGAGATTTCCTGTCTGGGTTGTCAGAGTTGCAGTTCATTACATTCATCTCTTATAGTCGTAATGCACTGTAATTCTTTATACAGATGAGTGGCTTACGTCTCCTTCCACTTCTCCAGGCATGCTGGGAATTCAGGCATTCCATGATCCCTGAGGGTGCCAACAAAAATATTGCCCAACTCCCATACTTACATCTGCCTCACACTAAAGGAAAGTCCTGGCAGAATATTTAGGTGTGATTAGTTAGGGATTTAATTAAAGGTAACTGGTTAATTTAAAACATGTCTTGACAAGAAACACTTATTTTGAGTCTGATCTTCGGGAGCCCAACCATAACCAAGAATCACAACATGGATGCTCAAAAAGGCACACTCAGTAAGAACAGTGAATATAGCACGTTAACAGTTAACAGTTAACAGCTACTCTTTCATGTTCACTACTCCTGATAGCAAACTACATTGATAGGTTCAATCTCAAGCTGTAGTCGATTATTTGTGTCTTCACTAATACTAAAACCAAGAGGCATCTCCAAATGGCAATTGAAATAGTGTGATAAAGAGTTTTCTATGGAAATTAGTTTTCTATGAAGAGAATGGTTGTTCTAAATAACAATGTACAGTATGATAATGATTTGCATCTTTAATAACACACAGTACTAATGTCTAATGTACTTGTAATCCTATTAACATGAGTCTCCATATTGAAATAATTCGTAAGATGTTTAGTGAGGAATATGAATTTGCTCTTAGCCTAGGCACGTATTGAGCTCTAACTGCAGTATTATACCAATTTTTTTTTGTTCAATTTAAAAAACAGCAAAGAGACAATGGAATTGTATTCATTGTAATAAATATAATAATTGATCAGTAGTGAATGTTCTAATCAGGAAAGTAGAAGAAAATAGAAACATTTTTACATTTTCAAATTGCATTGTTTTTGCAGCCATTTGTTAGTTCGAAACATGTTTTGAAAATTTGAATTGTATTGTGCAACATTTGGAATTTACCACAAACTATTTTTTAACAAAATCAGTTGGAAATTTCAGAAGTAGATGGCAGTCAAGAGGTCATATTAATTTACTCAGGAATATCTGTCATGCAATTTGTGATCAACAAATTCTGGAAATGTAATTTTTTTCTTTTTCTTCCAAAATCCTTATATAAATACAGTTTAAACAATATCAATGAACTTTTCCTGATCTTAGTACTTTATGGGTAGTCTTTGAACAATATCAAGGAAAGAGACATCTCACTATTCAGGGTATGACTGAGGAGTGTAGGTAGTGAATCTTTCATTTTCTCATGCAGATTGAACCCAACATCTGCCGCTTAAAGACATTTGTAATAGCTTTTTAAAACACAAAAGAAGACTATACATTTTTCAGTTATCATCTAATAAGATAGAGTAGCCCTCTAGAATTAGATACAGTAACCTTCAAGGACCTCAATTTCAGTCTTTCTCCTTTCTTCCCTTACTTTCTAACATTGTTAACCCTAAGTGTTAGTAGGGTGTTGCCTAGCCCAAAACTGCTTCAGAAATTATTTTTCTTTTAAGTGTGCTGGTGCATTTAAGATACAAAATTTAATGCATTTTCTCTTTATTGAAATCTAATTCATGTGACACACTCTAGAGAAAGTCACCGAAACACTAAAAGACACTGAAACATTTCCTGGGAAAACAGTAGAATATGAAACACTCTCCTGAACAATAATCAGCAGCAATTGTTCCTTTATGATTGCTTTACATGTCAAAGCCTCAGAGTTTACATGGCTATCATTTTACTTTTATATTGCTATGAAAGCTGTGATTCAGGAAACATTTTAAATTTGTCTTTAGATCTATTATATTGTTTTAGTAACTTAAAACAGCTACAAAGCATGCTGTTCTGTGAATTGTATTCAGAATTGCAACCAAAAACAATCAGAGAAAAGCAACGTAGAAGTTCTCTCCAGAGAATTATAACTATAATGACCAAAACTGTGATTGTGGGGCATCATTTAGGGACAAATAAGGTACAAGTGAATGAGCTTCAGTCACCTGACTAGCAAAGTGCATTTCTCCAGAAGTAAATAAAAGTAACGACTTGTGCAGAGTGTTGTGCTTCTAAACTGCTATTTACCACTTGTTCTTTCTCTTTGCTCTGCTGCAGCTCACCAGTGAACAGATAATTAGACTAACAGAAGAGCTTGTTTTGTATGGCTGCCTGAGCTGAGTGGAGCAGAATAAAGCAAGCTGCCCTCTTTTTTCATTCTCAGGGTTGTGTTCCAGTATTAAGGTAGAACCATTGCCAGAGATACAGGACCATCTGGGATTCCAGGTTACAGGTGTCTTCATACAGTAGCTACATATCAAATGCAAGAGACTTTCTCCACAGCCATAAGCCAAAAATGTTGCCTCTAATTCTGAACAAAAAACAATTTTCCAGTTTTGTTATTTTGATTAAATCTAATTCACTTTGAAAGCTATGAGTCTTAGAGCTTCCAACAATCAATGCAAGTCAATAGCATTAAACACATTTTGAAGGTGAGCACAATCCACTCACTGTCTGTGTCGGTAGAGCATAAGCAATATACATCTATCATTCAGCTTATTTGCAATGTTAGGCTCCTTTTCCGCCAAAATAGCACTTTGAGGATTTTGATTAATTTCCTCTCTTTAAGCTAAACCTACATTCATTTGCTTTCAAAGCATGTTGTTGTGGAACACCTTTTACAACTGAAACTTGCTGTATGATGGAGAGAAGTTAAATGAAATGATCCTAATTTCTCATTTCTGTTAGTACATAGAGGGCATTTAAATTATACAGATGGATTGTCTGAAATTGTAGATGTAAGAAAACAAAAACGATAACCTTGTTCAATGAAAGCCTGCAGCATTTTAATACTGTCACTAGAGGGAGTGTGTAGCTCACTGGAATGCCAACTATAACCTATTTGAACCATTTTAAGTCATTAATATGCATCAGGTTGTTAACGGAGTCAATATAATTCATTGGAGAAACTAAAAAATGAATTCCTTGACTTTCTAAATTTTGGCTAGAATAATTCTAGCAAAATACAGATGGAGGTGAACTATCTATTTCGGGTCTAGACCTCTGTACCCTTCAAGTCAGTGAAACACACTAAATATTTGTTGATCATCTCTGCTGTATGTTTTATTACAGACCACTAAAGCTGGGAAATCAGTGGGCTTTACAAAGTTTATCTTTGTGTTTTGCAGACATTTTTTAGCTGTTGCATATAGTATCAGGAGAAAGAATGAATTTTCCCAGTCAGGACACAGGATGAAGAAAGATAAGACAGAGCACAAGCAGTGCTAAACAGCAGTGATTTAATTTAGAATTTTTAAAGGAGTACAATCTCCTGTCTGCAGAATAAATAAAAGTTTAAAAACTCAGTTCTCTTGGTTTTATAATGTATTATAAATTGTGCTTATGAAATTGATAACTGGATTGTATTTCAGTATTGTCTTTCAGGGATTTTAAACATACTGTATAAAGACAGAAGAATACATTTTGTGCAATTATTTAAATATTATTTGGTGGTAACATCAGGAATTTTAATTCCAAGAGAAGTCAGTTTCCTCCAAAATATATCTTACTTTAGAATGAAACCAAGGAATTCTATTTATTTAGTACACTGAGACAACAGGGGGCTTAATGTATTATTTAGTAATATGAAAATGTTTACTACTCCTTGTAGTGCATATACTGAGGGCAAAGTGGTGCAGGCAAGCATGCAGTAGTTTTCAAGAATACTGAGACTCATTTTCGGTGATGCACAGAGGAACCTTTAATTAGTCCTGCATTCAGGTTTTGTTTTAGGGGATAACTATTACTGTGTGGGGAGAATTGGAGTGGCTGTTTCTTGGGTCCCTGGATGTATTCTAAGACACAACCTTAGTGCACAGATATAAAGAGACCTCAAACAGTTCTCTCCCTCCTATCATCTGCATTATCAAATGATTGCCATTTAAAATTACACTGCTGTCACGGTTTGGTAATAATCGTTTAAAGATATACTGTAAATACATGAATTACTGAGCTAAGTTGTAAGAGTTGGCTAATGTGAGGAGAATGTTAGATTTTCACCAGATCCATAGTATCACATTCTAATTAGATGTATTTCTTTCTCTCCAAGTCTGTCTGCAATCTTGCCTGCGGTGGAGAATTAACTACACCCAGGAGGCTCTATCTGCATTCTGTGCTGCAGTGGATCTCTACCTCAGCAGACGTTACTGGGCCTCAAAATTGGTAAGACAGAAATTTTCTGCAATGGTTTCTGGACTTTCTTTGCATTGAGACACAGGCATCTGGCAGAAAACAAATTCCTGTCCCTTGCATGCATCCTTTAGGTTTATGATAATAAATGGTTCAGTGGGCACTAGGTGGAAGGGCATTAGTTTCCCAAATCCACATCTGTGCCACATTTTTCAGGCTGGCTTAGGCTGTCAGTGTCTGTCAATGGTTACATTTAATGCAATTAAAAGTTACTGTGCTAGTCTCTCTCTCAGTGCGAAGCATTAACAGTATTTGTCTGCTTGAGGTGTGGTACTCAGGTGGCAATGGAAAAAAAAAGTTTGGCCTTATGAATTTTGTATTTATTTTTTTATATCACTTTTATTCTGCTTCTCTTTAGTTTTCATTATTGTGTAATACTTGTCCAGTTTTTAGAATAATAGCTCGAATTTAAAGTGTTTTGATAGCTAATATGCAATATAACTGAGAAATGATTAAAAATGCATAAATGTGCATTTTATTTGGTCATGGTTAATGACTGGAAAGCCATCCATCTAATTTCTCTTCATAATTAGGACATTGGCTGAATAAATAATGAAGTCTTTTCTCTCTTTTTTTAATTGACTTCCTAACAAGGAACTATTCCGAGTCACTAAATATCGCGCTGCAGCTCTTTACATATCAGTTTATCTTCCTGTCTTTTAAAAGTAATTACCCATCTTGGGAAGTTAATTAATTTTGTTATTGTGAACATAATTAAGAAGAGAATGATTGGGTTTGCATTTTTCCAGAAAACACATAGGTGATTTTTAATAAAAAACACAACAGTCTGCTGTATGGTTTTAAAGGAAAACTTTTACTTTAGGTTTAATTGCTTTTATCGACAAAGATCAGTAACCTCTCTCTGTATGCATGTATCCTATGACTCATCAGTAAAGATATGCTCTCATTCATCCATGTAATCCTTTTGCATCAAAGTCAGAAAAGCCGCATTAAACCCAAGTGTGAATAATGCTTACTGTGCATGCCAGAAAGGATGAGCACCTGACAAACGAAGGATGATTCCAGGAAAATGAGGGACGTTGGACTTGAACAGGGGAAGGCAATTTTCAGGGTATTACCTTGGATAGGTATTTTTCCGTAATATTTTTGCAAGGCTCATTGACATTTAATCTCAAAGCCTTTTTCTTAGTAAACAGATCCAGTGTATTTTTTCTGCTCCGTACTAAAAGCGAGATCCATCCGAAAAGGATAATATAGATATACATTATCAGCCTGATAAAGTAGACTTTTGAAAACCAGAGCTTTTGAACAGGAAGCTGTTACTGTTGCCTGCTGGGGCCTCCCACCTCTTCAGAAAAAGCACATTGCTGTAGTATAAGATAGATAAGATCACTATTAGCCATATACAATTTCTTGGATGAGGAATTTCTTTTCGCATACCCAAACTTGTTCTCCATGAGACACACAGACAGGGAGAGAAGCTTGGGGTCAGAGCGCAGGGTCCACCATTTATACGGCGCCCCTGGAGCAGTTGGGGTTAAGGGCCTTGCTCAGGAGCCCAGAAGAGGAGGATTCCTCTGCCGGCTGCGGGATACGAATCAGCAACCTTCTAGGCACAAGTGTAGATCAGTATAGACCGGTGGGTGAGTGCTGGAAATACTGTAGGTGTGTAATATGAGAATAAGAGACACAAATTTCTTGTGACTTACTCATTGTTCAGTTCAAAGAGAATTGTAATATTGAAATGTATTTTCTGAAATATAATTTCGGTATATTCTTTAAAGGGATTATACAAACATTCTTCTATGCTGCAGTTTTGATCCCTTCTGTTTCACCCTCACAGTGACCTGCATGTACAGGTATTTATATCAACTGCCCTTCAAACTGCCCTTCAAAATTACAAAACATTGGAAAAAGGTTAAACCATATAGGGATTTGATGAGGAATGAAAGATGTTTAATTTTATATTGGTAGGTTCATATGATACATTAATAACCTACTAAAGGGATGACCATGTTCAGTCTTGGGATTTGGTATCTTTCTTTTGTTTGGAAGTGAAAGATGCTATATATACAAGAAAAAGGAGTTTCTTCCTTAACATGTTTATTGTCAATGTCTTTATACACAGACACCTATGCCTGGAGTTCACCTGTTTATGAAAAGCTTGCTCCTGGGCTTCAGAGCTGGTATTGTTGTATTTCTTTATATCTTGGGTTAGAGAGGAGTCATATTGTGCTGATATTCATGGTGAGAACAGAAGACTGGCTATGAACAAAAGGAGGCCATTCAGTCTGTTTGGTAGTTAGTAGCTCATTGATCCAAAGTTCTCATTTAGCTATGCCTCCTGCTCTCAGTCTTAAATGCACCAGTTTCCGCTTGTCCTCAGGTTGGTGTTTCACTATTGAGTCTGTAGAAAATAATAATAATTGCTTACACTTATATAGCACTTTTCTGAACACTCTACTCAAAGCTCTTTACAGGTAATGGGGTCTCCCCTCCACCACCACCAATGTGCAGCATCCACCTGGATGATGCGACGGCAGCCAAAGTGCGCCAGATCGCTCACCACACATCAGCTATCAGTGGGGAGGAGAGCAGAGTAATGAAGCCAATTCATAGATGGGGATTATTAGGAGGCCATGATTGGTAAAGGCCAATGGGAAATTTGTCCAGGACACCGGGGTTACACCCCTACTCTTTTCGAGAAACGCCCTGGGATTTTTAATGACACCAGAGAGTCAGGACCTCGGTTTTACGTCTCATCCGAAGGACAGTGCCTGTTTACAGTATAGCGTCCCTGTCAAAAGTAAGTCATATAAAAGCCTACAGTGAAGATAAATAGAGCTGTATGTTTTGCACCACTGTGAAGAATATCTTAACAATATCAAACATCTCCAGTCTGTACTGGAGATTCCTTGCCTTAGCCTCCAAGCTGTCAGTTAAATGGTTAGGTGTGTTAGGCATCTGCTAAAGAAGTTTTTTCCCCCTAGGAAGTTTGTAGACACTGTGTTTATATATATGCTTAAGGTATGTGTTTCTTTCTGGCAGTATGCATCTCTTTAACAGCCTCCATCTTAAACCTTGTTTTTCTATACTCTTTCTTTCCATTTTGAAGTGCTGAAATTTCCACTTTAGTGTGGAGGTCCTGAAACGTATGACCCTAGTAGACAGATGTACAGCAGCAGATGGGCACTTTTTCATTTTTGCAGAGAGCATTATTTGGATTAACTGAGAAAACTCATACAAGCCTCTCATACAGTACATTTAATGGATTGTGTTGTCAGACCTAGTAAGCACTTTCTATTTAGTTTGACTGGGGCAATGGCAATTATTTGTTATATAATTCAAAACAGTATGTCTAAACCAGAACTCAATGTGAAGTAATTTCTTTATTCCCATGTGTCCATTATGTGAGACATTTATCATGTATAGTATTAATTATATAACAGTTGCCTAAATAAATCTAGCTATTAAAATAATTATTTTTTCCTCTTTTCCTAAAGTAGCTGTTTCTTAGAAAATATGCCACTTACTCAACAGTATTTTATAGGTTTTGATATATGACATTACATACGTCAAGTTATTGCTCTTAATGTAGCCTAGATTCGCTATTATTTAAGTGATGGCAAAGTTTGGTTGGTGTTTTCTCATTCCTTTAAGGAATGAATTATGCATTTGAATGAATGTTGACATGTAGCCTAAGGAGCCTATGGAAGGTCACAAACAGAAAAATTATCCTAAATGTGAAAGATGGAAATAAGACGTTATTTAAGATACTATTGTAAATATTAAAGCTGCTTTCCTTTTGTATAAATGTTTCACTAAATCAATACGTATTCATCAAGTTCTCCCAGCCCTTAAATTATAATTTAACATCAGAAAGAAAAAACAGCCATTCATCAACCAAAGAAACAGCAATTAATCTTTGATTCAACAGTAGAAAAGCCATATTTCATTTTCATTTCAGGCAATTAAATGTACCTTTTGCTTCTTCCCAGAATCAAATGTGCTGCATCACCACAGCAGCTTAATTGGAACTTCATCTCTTATATCCTTTCTCTCTAAAGTTAGTACAAAAATAATCTTATTTCAGCATTTGACTATCAGTACAAAATTAATTTAGACTGAATACCCCAAAAACAAAAACACACAAACTAAACAGAGGGATAGTCTTTTGGTGGTTAATTTAATTTTTCACACAGAAGCTATATCAGTTAAGACTCTGACTACATCAGAAGCACTGTTATCATCATGTTCTCTTGAAACACATTTTACAAACCAAAAATGAAGATCTGGAAAACGTTAAAAAAAAATCTTTTTACCTCAGTAATTCACAATGAAGATACTGTAGTACTTTTACCAGAGAGGAATTTGTCTTATTCTAGTTTCTCTTACCTCTGTTTTATATTTGTAATTTTATGTGAATGAGATCACTTGAATTTGCTGGAGATTGTGAATTTCTTTCCATTGCAATATCACTAAACATTTACTTCTGCTAAAAGTCAAATATGTCTGCCTGTTAATTCTCATTTCTAATTTTAAATCACAGCATGTGCAGGGTATAATTTTAGTTGAATGCAATATGTTAATATTGGCAAATACAATATGTGAAGAGGTTGTCAGAGATACACAACTACTCTGTAAACTGCACGCTTTTCTGTACTATGTACATTGCACGTATGTGTTTAAAATGCCCAATTAATAATTTAAACATATTAAAGTGTTACAAAAATCACTTTGATTAATTAAATCATAGCTTTAAAGTACTCCAACACAGGGTGAGATAAAGGTCTTGTATGTTGTAATTACTAGTAAGAAATGATGTTTTAACAGGGAATATACCATACTTCTCTAATTTTTCTTGGGATCTGAAACATACATGTATTTGTTTGGACACAGACACATACAAATGGAAGTATCCTTACATGTGTTAATTAGTATATGCTGGAAATATGCACATTACTGTTAAGGTTTTTTGTACTGACTTATTTTAAGTATGAAAATCATCATTTCAGATGCTCCTAGAAAGTCACCTGAACACAAACTAGTCCTAGTCGAATGTAAATGAGAACAGCTGTCATTTCTACCGGTTTGTATATGCAAGGGGGGATTAGCAGTCAGATGTGAACTGTTTGATGTTTTTGCTTAATCTTTTTTCACAAAAGTAGCATTTTTTACCAGCAATTTCTCACCTTTGTTCCACCAGCTCCCGATATTTGTTTTTTTCAATGACATGAATCAATTAATCATGTTTTCTTTCTCATCAAATCACCAGAAAAACAGTCACAGGTTTTTCTCGCTTGTCATGCAGTCAGGTTTAACACTTTTTTCCTGCCCAATGCTGGAAAGAGCAGGGGAATTCTGATCAAAACCACTTTTCAGACTTTCAACAGGCAAGAGCTCTTTCGGGGGAAATATTTCTATCATCAAGACATTTTCCAACAGAGAAGAAACACTCATTTCAATAGGATCCTTTCACACATAATGAACATGAACCTGACTGTTGTGAAAAGCTATAGTAAGGCAAGCACAGGGCTATCCACATTAAAGGCTGTTTGAAGTTTTCTTAGAAAACCTTTAAAAAAGCGTTACAGGTGTTATGTACAATAAATCCTTTACTACTGAAATATAAATGGTTTTCCATAGTGACTGTTATTCTGCATGCAGACTTTATTTTTTAACCCATTATTATTCACCAGCTTACAGATATAAAATCTGTAGTATCCTCAGACAGCCCTTTAGTAGTATTTACAGTGTCACAGTCACTAACACTCATTAAATGCCATTACATTATTTATTCACACACTCACACCCAGGGCCAATATTCCCAGAGGTCATTAAACTTGCCAGTATGTCTTTCGCCTGTGGGAGGAAACCAGAGGACCCAGAGGAAACCAACACAAACACAGGGAGAACATACAAACTCCAAGTAGCATTAATTGATTATGAGATTTGAAATCAATGCAATATGCCTGGTAATTTAAGGTTATATTGTGCTGTGTGGATCAAAGATAAAACGTTAGGCTCATTACTTTTCTAACAGCTATGAAACATTGCATAGAATTAATGAGTGCTGCTACACTTCTCTAAAGTCACCTTCTATTGTTTATGGTCTTTCTGAAACTTTTATGTGACTAAGAAGTATACACCCATGTTTCTGTGGAATTTGTTTATTTTGCCTACCTACTATAAGTTGAGTTTAGATGAGTCTCCTGAGACTGATTCTTGGCCTGATCGCCCCTCTCTTTTCTCCTTTCCAAAATCTGCCTTTGGCTCCTTTCCCATTCTTCTCATTAGGTATACTGGCATCACGCTCTTTTGCTTCAGCATCTTTAATACCCCTTTTCCCTTCCAGCTTAGGCCCATGTTATAATACCTCTGAGAGCTTACATTTCCATTCCATGTACACCTGCGTCTGTCACAGTGCAGTGATTAGAGAATTTGAAGAAATCTCAAAAGGAAGCTTGCATACATACAGCTAAAATTCTTCACACAGCTTCTTGTGCTTTTCTCAGGTCTGTCTGTTTGAATGTACGGTGCCATCTTACTTTCTTGACATACTTTTGAATTACTCAGATTGTAGTTAATATTTAAATCATCATGCATTTAGATATGTGGTGAGCTTATTTATTTTATTGATGATCTATATTTAACAGTTGGCTAAAAAAAACCCTCTTAATTATGGATTTATTCTAAGTAAAATTCTTCATTGTGTAATGTTCAGTGCTAAACATCCATAATCAGTCTGTGTGTACTTATTGGAATTCTAAATTCAGCTTTGATTTAAATCAAACAAATAATTAACCTCTGTGTTAGGTTTTTAAATCTAGGGTTAACTTGCTTCCGGTTTAGCTAAAAAAGGAGGTTGCAAAGAAAGATATGATGCTAAAACTCAAGCATAAAAAAATACCAAAACTCTTTTTTTGTTTTGTAATTTTTGATAATTTAACATTAAGTTTATTGACATTTATAAAAACATATTAGTATTTATCAGGGTTAAAATAATAAGACATAAGAAAATTGCCCCCTTGTGGTCAGTTTAAGATTTGTATCTTTTATTGTCAAAGATCCCTACTAAAATTCTGTGGACTGCTACAGCATACTATGTCTTGTAAAGCTATTGATCATATAAAGAGGGGACAAACAAAAACTAAAAATTGTGTAAGTCATTTACCGCAATGACCCAAATGGTTAATACTGTTGGAAATTAATGAAAATTAAATATCTGAAATACTATAAAAAAGAAAGGACTGTCAAAGCTGAAGTGTCATTCTCATCTACGTAAAGAGCTGTGAGTCAGGGTTATTACATGCTGATAACTCTGAAGGCCGCTGTAAAAGAAACATGCTGTATCAACGGTGGGAGGACTCTGTTCCCAGCAATGAAAGATACAGTAACTTTCTCTGCTGTGTAAAATAAAAACAACACACAACCAGACAAAACTGAGACCTTGAAGCTACTGGCATGAACTGTTGGAGTACTAGTGCATGCCATAAAATGAGTGTTTTTTGCTTCTCAATCGCAATACTTGCATAAATCCTTCCTGGCTTAAAAAGCAAGTTCAGCATTACACTGGCAAACCAATTTACAGTTGTAGAAAACGAGGCGCAGTATAGATGTAATTTCCTTACTCAACAGTAGTTACTTAATTGATTGCTATATGCACAGTTCTGAATATCCAACACTGTTTCTTTTTTCCCCACTATGGTACTCAACTGCATTTGAAACCAAAAGTTTATCTGCTTCTTATATTTAATGTAGTTCACATCCTTCTCAATATGCATCTCTTACCTGTCTTGTTAGGAGTGATTACAAGCTGGAAAGAGACATTAAATCTTAGTTCATTCCATTTAAACCAATACCATTTATTAAAGAACAGGATAAACAGACAAAAATGTTTAAGAGTTTCACAAAATTGTAATTGCAATTATCTGCATTTTCACAAACAGAACACTGCATTAATATTCAGGTTTTTTCTCCCATCTGTTCAAAAATGTTCTAAAGATACAGGAGCTGTGTAAAGGCATCTTTGAAAAGCATCAGAAGTGGTCAAATCCTTCAGTAACATGGATTGTAAAGTGCTTTCACTTTTTAGCATTATTAAATAACCTTTTTGCATTAGAGTGCAATACACAGTTGTGCTCGCAAAGTAAAAGTAAAAAGGACAGAGCTACTGCCTCTTAATGCCAGTTGAAGGAACGGTTGACCATTCTGTAAAAGTTGTTGTTGTGTTCTCTGAAGTAAGCACGCAGCTGCTCCAGCACAGTATTGTTGACAACTGGATGGGGCCTGCCCTTTGATTCATGAAGGCATCTTTCCCTTCCATCACTGCGAATGCAATAGAACCCCTTGGTCTGATTAAAATAGAAGTTAGAGGGCATTATTCTGGGAGGAAGACTGAGGAACTTCTCCACTTTTTGCAGTTCTGGCAAGGGGTCTTTTATCAGGGTATCTCCATCAACAATGTGAATTTGGTCCAGAGAGAAATATTTGAGCCAGTTTTCCATGTGGAGATCATAGAGACTCCTTTGAATAGCTTTGTATTTTGTGTTCAAAGCCCCATTTCTAATGACAATGTCCTCAATCACCTGTACTGGCTTGCGGTTTTCCAGTCTATTGTAGTAGACCTGCGTGTAGTCAGATATCACCCTTTCAGTGGGGTCCCTCAGAATCAAAAGCAATTTGATAGAACTGTTCATCTCATGGATTCTTTCTGCTGCAAGCGGAGAGGTGAAATAACCAGGCGTTTTCTCCACAGTAATTTGGTGTTCATATGAGAAAGGCATCAAGTTCTTGTACCAGTCAAATCCTTTCACGTAGTTTTCATCCCAGTCAAAGAAATGAACCTCTGTGGCAGCCACTACAATATTGGGGTGAATATCCAGCATTTCCAGTAAAGCTCTGGTTCCTCCTTTGCGCACTCCAATGATAATGCTTTGAGGGATTCGTCTGTTTGTCCCTGGAGGTTTCACCTGTGGAGGGTAGTTTTCCGTCTCATTAGCTAGTAATCCCACTTGCAGCTTCAGTGAATCCAGTACTTCTCCTTCTGTCTGCTGAAAATACTCTTTCGGAACGGCATGCGTCTGAGCCGCCAGGAAGAAAGCTGAAAATAGTAGATGGGCCATGAGGAAAAACCTAGGAAAAATGATGGAGGGGTTTAAAGAAATGGTGTTTCTGCAGCAACTCCAGTTGAACCCCTGTAATCAAACCATCTGAGCAGGAAGTCTTCAGCTAGCATCTGGTGGAACGTTTGGGGATGTTGAACAGGGGAAGCAACTCTGATGCACATCTGTGAGAAACAAAGAGGGGGAAATGAATTAAACACACTTACTTAATTGCATGAGGCTGTTGCTTCGTATACAATAATTGCAGTGCTTAACTTCAGCTAGAAAATTGGCACAAGCAAGCCAAAATCATGGCTCGTTTCAATTTCGACATCTTGAAAAATATCACAGCAGGTTATTATATTTTTCAGTGCACTTTACAGCCAAGAGCACTCCAGGCTGTGTTTGAGGGCAGAAATACACACTGAACAAGCATGGCAGAAGGAAGAGAAGATCATCAAGAAAACAAAACACTGAAGAAACGTCAGCTCACCAGAGAGCTGTAACTAACACTCAGAAGCGATAGCTGTACAACATGACCATTCTCTGTAATACAACTCATTACTTTGTCATAGGAGTAGAATCTTAACATTCATACTGTTCTGCTACTGTAAATACCTTACACACTGCTGCATTTCTTTATAGCATTACTATTTTCACCTTTACAGAATACTAATAGGGCTGACAAGAATCAAAGCATACCAGCAGAGTCCTGTCAAATGCCCTTATGTAAGTATAAAGTATTTTGGAAAATTAACAGCAAGACTATATGGCTGCACAACACTTTCACTGCCCCAAATATCTGTATTAAAATATCTGTAAAAAAATACCAAAAAACAAATTTTAAATACTTGTAAATATAAAAATAGCATTCAGGGAGCAAATGATGCAATAATATAGGAAGCACATTTTGGATCATTAAAAAATGCCTATCAATCACAGAATGCAAGAGTGAGAATATCTGCTTTGTCCCTGAAGGAAATCACATGCCAAGAATGATGGAGCAACAAAGAAATTCGCTCGAAGGTCATACTTATTCCAGCATTTCCGTAGCAAGGGGCGGCCGACTGATAGATTTATATGGACCAGCTCATAAACCATCCGAGTAAGAATCCTAAGATAACAAATCCTGACACTGTGAAATTATGTTATTTCCTCCTAATAGTTATGTATGAAGATTTCTGATTAAGTTATAGTATTTGCAACCAATTTCTCAAAGAAGGTTTTGAATAAATTCAGAAGATAATGGCCCCTGAATTTTCCAATCTAGTCATTATTTCTAACAGGATTTAAGAAGAACTTAACAGGATTTTTTTTTTAAAGGAAAGAAAACTCTCTCTATATAAATCATAAAACATGGAACAGGCATGTAAGGCACTAAGCTTTTTACACAGCACAGGAACACCATCAGGTCATCCTATCTCTCCTCAAGGCGGGGTTCATTAGAATCCTAGCAGCAGAAAGAGAAGAGATTTGTGCCTCCTTGAAAACCCAATCTGTGGAGTTCTTGGCACGCTGCTGTAGATCACAACTCCAGAGAAACACCACTCAGAGAACGTCAGCTCAAAACCCTCGTGTCTGTTCTTTTTGGGAAGGTTATATTTTCAATTTCGAAGGGTCGCGATGTGGCTCCAGCTCTGCTGACGCTGTGCTCGTTCTGACAAGCAGCTGTGGCAGACCAACTCGCAGGCTAAACAAGGTCTTATCTGAGTGGGTATGGAAGAGCTGTAAAACAGTACTCCAGAGCAAAGGTTTTTTAATGCAGTTTAATTTTTAGAGTACCTTCTCTGTAGGAAGAAATTACAGCCTAAAAAAAGTGCCGCATTTTAGATCAGCACCAGGAATTTGTCTTTTGTTATGTTTTCAATGGCCTCAAAATGCACTGAATGGGACAAATGGCCTCCTTCCATTTGTAATGTGTCCAGTGTTTGTTCATATTGCTTTTAGAGTGACAGAAGTGTTAGAAGAACACTGTATGAGTAGTACAAATAATAAGAAATCGCTAGGCAGTTGATGTCTCTTCCAAGCCATGACAAATCGCAAACAGACAAGTATCAGCTACTAGTAGTAGAAATAATAGATGTATTGATCTTATAATAATAGTAGAAATTGTTTTTACTTTGTCCAGACTCATTCCAGTTCTGATAGTTTTGTTCTTTGCCTCCCTTCACATGATTAAATATACCATTAAGCATGCTGGTGAAAACAGACTAATTTAGCCTATTTTTTTTGTCTCTTATTTGACTTACAGATGAGTTAAGAGATTTTCTCCAGATTGGTCTCCACACTAACATTCTGCAGAACTGAGACTTACTGTATGAAATGATTTGTTAATGCATTACGCACTGCAAACAGTTAATGGCTGATAATATGCTGGCAGCTCTGCTTCATTGATTATGTGAGGTTAGAAGAACTAAGTGAATTGTTCATACTTGATTGTTTTCTGATTGTTTCTATTTAATTCCTCTCACATTACAGTACAGATAAATTCTTAGGCAGTCAGCCATTAAAGTTTGTACATACAAGGGGAGGACATTTAATGAAAAAATACTTATATTTTGAAGTAATTAAATCACAACTAAAATGGATTCTACACAGGTATTTCATACTAATTTCAATACTTGTTACCAATATGTTTCTCCTTAAAAAATATTCACTTTAACACTTTGTTTGAATTCTTCAATGTGTTAAGGGGAAGAGTGTTGAAAATCATAGCAGCATACTCCAAACATCTATCAGGATAGTTGCTGAAAAACACGAAACAACGACCTAAACAATTACCACAGAACTGAAATCTCTGTAACCCAGTCTCAGCAAAAAAGCTGATATTTATGGTAGAGCCTGCTAGTAACCAAGGCCAATGCACAGAAATGCATAACCTGGTATGATGAGCATAAACACTAGAGAAGAATGTAATATGGTCTGATGAGTTGTCTACATCTGGACAAGTTTATGTTTGGAGAAAGAAAAGGAAGCCTTCAGCTCACAGGTTTCCGATTGTCAAACAGGGTGATGTATCCATTTTGGTATGGGCAGCCATCTCGTTGGAGTCACTGAGTCAGATTATTTCTCTGCAAGGTAGAATTAGGCCAATGAATAAGAAGCCTTTTAAGGTGCCCAGGTGTACTCTATGGAGCAAATATTGTTTCCTCAAAATGTTCACCTATTCCAAGATGACAACACCCTAGTACACCCTGATAAATTGATTCAAGAGTGGCTTCCTGAACATTGGGATGAAGTCAAACACCTGTCAGTGGCCTTCCCACAAACCAGATCTAAACATCATTGAACCTTTATGTGATGTTCTGGAATTTCGAGTATGGAGTAGATTTCCACCTCTTTTCAAAGAGCTTTCCCTCTTGAAGAATGACATGAAGAAACAGTTCAAATCTTATATAAAGGAAAAGGGGGGACCCAGATTCTTATTAGTTAATAAATATTCATATATTGCTTTGAGTTCCCATTATTTTGTCTAGCCCCTGTAGAAGGTTATGTGACCACAATAAAGTTCAATGAGTCTTCCACTGGATATTTTGTATATGGTTCAGACCAGATTTTTCTGGTCACCAAGCTGAAAAACTAGAGAGAGAATTGTGGAGGTTTATTTTAGACATTATATGCAATGGAGCCTTGATAAAAAATAAAGGCAATTTATACGAAAAACTCTAAACAATTTATTCCAATCAGTTCCTTCGCTCTGGTACTGTGTCTAACGTGCACAGTAATCTATTGACTGACTTTAAGCTTTAGGTTTTTAATAAGGAAATAGAAAGCATTTATAAACATTTTCTTATGGAATGGATATCATTATCTTTTTAATTCATGTGCAGACTGCATTTTCCATATTCTTCCCCAGAGCTGTGTGGTTTGGCTTTCTGATGAGGTCTATATCTACAAACACATATGCCATTGCTCCTTTTGAAACAAAATGTTAGGTTCCGTACTACCATGAAGACAAAAACAGCTTAAAATAAAGTAAAGATACTAGTGTAAAATGAATAATGTTCACCCCCAATTAATAACAATACCTGGGTGTGGCATGTATCATTGAGTCTTTTAATCAGCTTTATCTTCAGAAATGCAATAGATACAGACTCACTGATTCAGAGCTCAGTTGGAAAGCACATTAAACTAATTTCTCAGCTGGACTGATTATTTTTGAAATTCTAAAAAACCCATTAATGAAGAGACTGGATTTTCATTAATTAATTTTTTGTGCAAGGCAGTGGGTAACAGAATTGTGTTTTGCTCATGGGACTTAATTAGAGACGTATTAATATAAAATAATTATCAAATCAGTGGAGCTCTTAATTATTTTTCAACTGCTTCCACAATGACTAAACAAAGCTAAGGATTATCTGCTTTAATAGTTTATTTTAATATCTGTGAATTTGTTGGGCATGTGTACATCCACACATATACAAATATTTAGGCTTTAGAGATAATATAAGTGAGAAAAAATAATACTCCCCCCACACTGTCTCTTTTGGCAACACAGTATCAGAATCAGAGTTTAATAAGGCTGAGGTACATGGTTTTACATTCACAAATTAAAGCGGTATTTTCAGAGGGAAAAGCAATGTATTACAATACCCCAAGGCAAAGCTCTAGAGTCTTGTTACCAACACAAAGAATGGCTGCCTGAAATATGGAACAAATACTGTGGTTTGAAGTGATAGATTATATGGACATTGTAAACCAGGATCTCAGTAATACACTCCACTGCCGATTTGAGGGCTAAAAATAATGATGCAAAACAACAGCAAAATACCAGGTTCCAGAGACATCTTGTCTTTAGGCAGATAGCCAATAATTGTGTTGGCTGCACATCTGTGATCACTTTATCTGTAAGATTCAACTGTATTTCTTATGTCTCACTGCATAATTCAATAGTTCGTTGCTTAATTATCCCCTGAGCTTTTTATAGCTCTTGCAACCCTTTCGTCAAAGAAAAAAAAAAAACACTCCACTTTTTGTCACACAATATAACAGGTTTCAGCTGAGCTTTGAAGTTCACAGCAGATGTAAAATGCATTACGGGTCATTTGGTGCATGAATGCATTATCTGCTTTTAGCACTTACTAAACATTTAATGGTGTATTCTTGTCCAGTGTTGGAGCTTTTGAAATAATGCAAAAGGACTGCATGTATAGAACCACGTATATTGCAATGTTTCATTTTTCTTCACAGAAAAGCACAGGTGAGGAAGTGAGTTCAAAAGCATCGTCCTTGCAATCCTAGATGAGCTACTGTATAAATAATAACTAATGAACAGCATGCCATTGACTACATGATGTGCTTTAATTACAGCATAATTATAATTTTATGCATTACATGTGCAAGGATTTTCAGAATGGCTTGTGTGTTTAATTTCTTTAATCCAAGTGTTCCACATTTTTACATTGAAGACCACTGACTGCAGGTTTTTTAGAATAAAAAAAAACACATTTCCAGATCTTTGTTTTTTATTGTCTATAATAGGAAACTGAATCTTAACATCATATACTGAACCAGGCGCTGTTAAAGTTTAGATGCTCAAAGTACATTCTTAATTATGCCAGATAAAAATACTGTAAATAAATTAAGAGCTGAAATGAAAGTGGTGGTGACAAGTCTTTGAGAACTGGGAGATGGTTAAGGCTCGATGGATGAAAATTGATGGCAGTTCACTGCAAGAGGTTTGTGACAAAGTGTCAAAATGTCAGCATCACTGTGGTAGGTAACAGAAACGCTATTATGAGAAAAGTTCACAACACCAAAACTTGATATCTGTTGGATTTTCTTTAGATAAAGAGTTAATGGTAAATCCTTCTTTCTTATATCTGTTTAAATAAAATTATCCAGGTGACACCATAACTGTGAGCAGTTGATCTAATGAAACACATTTTGCCTTTAAGCAAAACGTTCTGTAGCTTAGATAAATAATTCACACTTGCAATTTCTCTACAAATTTAAGTGCAGGAATATCACTTTTTCCCCAGTGTTGCTGGAAGAAATAAGAGTAGAACATTTATCACTTTACAAGGGAACTCTAACACAAAAATTACAAGCCTCATAAGTTTTAAAAAAATGCTTTCAAAGGTTTTACCTAAATAGTACCAAATTTCCTTTGGGAGGCATGCACTTTAAAAAGCTTTCAAGACAATAAGTCTTGATTTATAGAGGGACACTACAGAGTGCCTTTTCTGTTCTTTAAGTAGATATTGCAGCTAGACAGTTTAAACAATACAGTAAGTGAAGCAGCAAGGTAATGACTACTTTATCCAAAAGCAGCATGCTACATTCCTAACATTTTTTTGCACATACGGTGCAAACAACAGTTCTGTTTTAAATCCATGATCACTTTATTAATCAAAATATTGTTTCCTCAATAGGTCTCAAATGTGAATTCTACAAACACAAAATAATGTGGATCTTAATACGTTTAAAATGAAGGATCATTACAAAGTATTGCGCAATAGGAAAAAAAAAGGTAAAATGAAAGAGTGGATTTTCAACAATATTGTCGGTATACAAGGTTGTACAATTTATCTGGCTAGGTATATGTAATTCATTAACCACGAGTAGTTAATGTATTGTTTTCGTTATGGTGACCTCTCTTTTAAGGTGTTATGTTGTTTGCCATAGTATTTAAATTTAACCTAAGTGTTTGTTGCCCTCTGGGGAGGAAAAGATGAATTGCATAGAAATCACAAGACTCATCAGGTCATGACTGAAAAGTACTAAGATGAGAACAAGACAAATATTTTATATACATGCTCTCACATAAGGCTAAAACTTTAATTATAAAATGTAATAATTCTTGCTTTGGAAAATAAAGGTTACACTTTATTTGAATGCCCAACATAAAGGCTAACTAGAATGTTAGAATATTTATAATAATTTACAACAATTGCTCAAAGAAATAATAGGTCCAGTAATATCCATAACATTGTATAACATTTGTAAGTGCTGGTCATAGAAAGTGCTTGGGCCATGATTATGGTTATGGGCAGAGACTGAGCTGCAGTTATAGTTCATATTTGGGTTAGAGTAAGGATTGGGGCTTAGGATGGTTTAGGGTCATCACAAAGACTTCTGCAGCTGTAACGCCCTTTGAAAAATGGTTATAAAGAATTATGAATGTTATTATAGTGTGGTTTTGAAGGGCTCTTTGTTATGTTGCCTACATTCAAATGAAAACTTGTTCTTAAAATCTTCAATGCATCCAAGTGAAAATCAGTTTTCTTGACTGTGGGGAAAAAAAGACAGAACAAAACCTCAAGGTGCACTTCATACAACCTTCTTACTGTAAATAAGTTGCCAAATACGTTTAAGTCTAGATTAAAGGATTTCTTTTTTTGTGAATCACTTAATTTTTTTCCCCAAAACAAAAAATAAGAACAAAACACACCTCTCTTGCACCATACATACTACAATCAGGTATGTTTCTGAGTTTCCAGCAAATGACCCTTGAGATGGTCCAAAAGCTCCTCTAGAAGTACCATGTAATATTTGACCACCTGAGCAGCAGAACTCAGAACTATCACCACCTTTCCCCACAGGCGTCACGGATTCAAGCGGCAGTGACCTCCATATACAGGACATGTCAGGACAGGGCAGGACCCAGGGATACCAGGACAAGGAAAGCAGAGGATCCTAACTGAGCACCAACATCTAAGAAACATCCTTCTTTAGCATAATAGACAGAGAGGAAATGCATTTCTAAACCACAGCCACATGTGGAAACTCCCAAAATACACATACAAAAATGATCATAGTGTCACCCGGGCAGCTGGTACATAAGTTTTCTGTTACAGCATCTACAAGGTGTTGTACACCCCATTAAAGAATATTTAAGTGAATCATTCAGTTTTGTTCCTCATTGATAATAGTTTAGAAATTTAGAAATTCTGCTATGCAATATACTTCAATACCCCCAAATGTAAAGAAAGAGGAAGCAAAACTAGAAGTGTTCAGCTTCGCTTTTACACCAGTGGAGAAAATTTCACACAAATCAAATGGAGTAAAATCTTAAAGGGATACCGATATCATATTTTAGACAGTCAAACAATACTCTTCAAAGCAAACACTAACACAAAACATGAATAAACAGGAAGCCAGTAACCACCTCGGTATCTTAATTAATCTTAATGTTAATGCAATAACAAAAGCTAATGACGAATTCTACTGTAAGTCTGGGCAACTACAATGTGCAATAAAAGAAGGTCTAGGCAACTGTGGTCATCATAAATATAAATCATTCTCCTTAGTGCCTTAATTATTGATCAAGTTTCCCCAATTGCGATTAGGGTACTTTGATTAAATACCTAAAGGTGCTTAGGCATTTTGTTGAAGATGAAAGCTTGCTATCTTTAAAAAAATGGCTGGATGAGACCCTTCATCATTCAGGTACTGCAAAGTAGATGGGCCAAATAACCCTACTTTGTTTGTAACTGATCTAACCTACTTATTAAAGTTTTAGCCAGTGAACTGATGTTCCACACAGCTCAGTTTGCCAGATTTGGTGTCTCCAGGTCACTGTGAAATCTTATCACAAGATGTAGCTAGGTTGAGCATTTGTATGCTGAAATAATCTTAATGAAGAGTTAAAAGTGAAGGTACTTGCAGGCATTTTTATATTCAGAACCAAAACCAAACGCTTCTTCTACAGTTTACATTTTCATTTCACTGAAACTGAATCTGTAAAATGTCCAAAAGATTCCTATATGATTACACAAATTAATTAACCATGAGGTCAGAATTGTTAGAATTAAATACAAATCTCTTCTTGGAAACATAAAATATTTGATCTCCTTACTTAAGCCCAATTAATACATATATTACTTACCTTACATTACACAGATAACACACAGTGTTTCTTAGTGGTGGACACATACTGTACAAGGTAACATTATTTCCCATTAGGCTGACATAATGTTTTAAAGCTACATAGAAAACAGAAACAGCGGATAAACTGAATTGCAAATACAAAAAAAGCATTTTCCTGCTGTTTTCAATTAGCTTGATTAAAAATTGATCGCCGTTTTCGTTAGTAAAAGCTCAATCTATATCTGGAGGATTACACTCAGCTCTGGCTTTATGGTCCAATTAAGTTTTCTGTAATATCAAAATTAAAACACTTAAATTGCACATGCTTCATAGTTATACGTGAGAATAGAAGCAAATCAATAGGGTTCATTCAACATTCCCAGAGGAAATAAGAGGGGCATTTTAAGTCAACATTACTACACATAAAGTAACAATGTATAAGTAACACATATACATAAAATGAACCAGTGAAATGTCACTGCAGTTAGCTCCTGGGACTCTGTATATAGAGTGTAGGTTCAGTCCCAATTCAAGGTCACTCTATATACAGAAGTCAGAGGTCATGGATGCGTATGGAGATACTGTATGAGCAATTTAAGATTCCATCAGGCATCTCTTATTGCTTATGGATACATGCTTTAAAAATCTGGATCCATCTAAGATGTGACATGTCCTTGCACAATATTCAATACATCATCGACCCTTAAAACATCACCAGAACTAATTTCCCCACCACGAGGGAAAATATGAAACCAAGTAATGAGCCAGAAATTATGTATGGCCACACATACATTTAAACTATAAATTTAATTTTGACTTTTTACATTTTTCTTTTATTGAGGTATACATGCCAGAGTTAATTTGGAGTCTTATATCTACTGTTTTATTGATTAAATGTTAGCATGACTGCAAACCATTTGGTTATGCAACTAATCATGTGCAGAAACTATAAAATCCCTCTTTTTTTCCCTGGTCATGGTTGAATATTTGCTTGAAATTTGTTATGTGACTGTATCTCCTTAGAAAGACAGGTGTATTTATTCTGAAATCATGTAAATAACTATTATTGCACACAAACAGAAACTATTCAACTAATTATTTAACTTATCAAAGTAATATTGTTTATCTGGAGTACTTCAGGTCATAGTAATATGGGTGAATATGTAAGCAAATTAACATATTTGTGTTTAGTTCTTGCTGACATTTAACAATACAATTTCAATGAATAATATTCACTTTTATAAATGTAGAATGTAGCATTAATGAGATGGGGTGAATACTTTTTCAAGATACTGTAGATCTTATTGATAATGAAAAGAAAAGTTAAATAGTTCTCACTTGATATGACAAGTGATTGAATTAAAATGAGTTCTAGTACACATTAAACATTACAATCTACCTTTAAAACTCTTTCCCCTTAGAATAAAGAA